GATATTGTGATGATTATTATTGATGTTGTTTATGATTAGACTTTGATGAATATTATTATTAAAATAATAATTACGAATGATTAAATCATGTTTAGAAAAATGAATATATTGATGATTATAAAAATGATTTGTATTGTTAAGGATATCTAGAAGAACTCTAAGATATACCCACTTGGAAAATTGATGATGATTATTAAGGATATCTAGAAGAACTCTAAGATATACCTCCTTGACCAATTTATAATTCGGGGTTAAAACGTACGTACGGGATCCAGACCGGATATCACCCACCCAACAGATCACTGTTCGGTTGGTACGTAATCCACGTGACTCATAGGGTGGATTATCGATTCTTGTGTTCTGCATTAAACTATTTATAGTTTAAGGGCCTGGTTAGAAATATTGCCTTAGACTAGGTATAGCTAAGAGCTTGTATAAAAATGATTTCGCCTTAGATTAAGAATAATTTAAAAGCACTGATGAAATATTGAATAATGAATATATCATGAAATGACTTAAAATAAAATATTGTGAATATCATGAATAATGTATGCTTGAAATATGTATTGTGTGCATGATATCAAATGGTTAATTATGAATTGATATTCAATTTATATGGATGTTCGACGGATTAGATATGCTTACTCAGCTTTACCGCTGAGCGTGTAGTGTGTTTTATTTGCTACACGCAGGTCAATAGAATGATGTGACGTGATCCTGGAGGCAGACAGAGGCGAGATAGTCGGAATGGATGTGATGGTTTTGAATTAAATAAATTATGTTTGTGGTTATGATTTGTTAAGCTTCCGCAATATTGAAAACTCTGTACTGCTTATGATATGAACAATATTATTATGATAAATAAAAGTGTTTGAAAAGTTTTAAATTTTACGATTACCAAGTTAATACTTTAGTCCAAAAGGGGCTGCAGACCTGGACGGATTAGGGTGTTACAGGTCTAGCAAAGGTGAGGGTGGCGTTATCAACTTTCAAGGCTTTACCTAGTGTGGAGGTAATACAAAAGAGAGCCTTCTGATCATGTAAATGAATAGGAAGATTGGGTATAGTGATCCAGACCGGAACAATAGGGGAGTCCTCCTCTAGACGTAAATTTGGCGACCATTTAGTCACTGTCATGATATCCCTTCCAAGCGTCCAGGTTATCCGGAGGAAAAAGCGTTGATAATCTTCATCATGCTCAAAGTTGATAAGAACAGCGTTAGAGTTGAGTTCTCCATCCGTAAAACCCCCAACAAGCCCCAGTCGGGTAAGAAAATTTCTCACAACCGAGAGTGGAGGGCGACGTCTGAATCTACCGATGAGGGCAAATCTGAACCGACGGGAGAAAACCTCTATGTCTTCCCTAGAGAAGGAGATGGATGGACAACCTTTGAAACTGGTTTTCTCCGGCGGTCTATCAATGATGACGGCCCCATCCGTCTTGAAGAGATCGGAGAACAGCTTGGAAGAGTGTTGGAAGCTTTGGCCGGAGACGCCGGAGGAGTCTCCGTGGATTTCGAGAGCGGCAACATCATCATATATCATATATATCCTACATATATATACATATGTGTATGTATATATATATATATATACATATGTATATATACATATGTATGTATGTATATATATATATATATATGTATGTATGTATATACATATGTATATATATATATATATACATATATATACATATGTGTATATATATATATATATATATATATATATATATATATATATAGAGGGATTGAATCTAGTGAGATGACACCTTACGGTGAGATGACATGCTTCGGTCAGATGACACAAAGCTCACCACTGGTCACTGCAAAGCTCACCAAAGGCAACTACAAAGCTCACCAAAGTGTAAGGCAAAGCTCACCATATTTTTTCAACACTTTGAATTTTTTTCCAAAAAATAAAATTAAAGGAAGGGGTGCTGACTGGACTTTGACTATTGACCGCCAGCATTGACCGCTGCCGCCGTCGCCGGACTCCGGCAGTCACCGCCGGCCGCCCGTCGCCGCTGCCGCCCGTCCCCGGTCGTCGCCGCCGCCAGTCTCCGGTCGTCGTCGCGGCCAGACTCCGGCCGCCGCCGGTCGCTGCCGCCGGACTCCGGCCGCCGCTGCTGCTCCACCGCCCTTGACCGGTGGTTGACCGGTGTTGTTATTTTATTTTTAATTAATTTTTAAATTTTTAAAATTAAAAAAAAAGGTGAGTTTTGGGGTTCAAAATGGTGAGCTTTGCTTTATTTCCAGGTGAGCTTTGCATTGTGCATTGGTGAGCTTTGCAGTGACCAGTGGTGAGCTTTGCATCATCTGACCGAAGCATGTCATCTCACCGTAAGGTGTCATCTCACTGGAGTCAATCCCATATATATATATATATATATATATATATATATGAGTAAATTCCATAATTAGTCCTTTATAACAAGGGGGTTTCTATATTTAGTCCTCTATTATCAAATATTATCTCTGTAGTCCTTTTTTTAAAGGTACCTTTCCACAAATGGTCCTTTTTTTGATCTTCTCCCGTATTGGTGTTAATTTAAAAGCTAAAAGTATAATTTGACGTCAACATTATGTCTAGTGACGTGTTCTAATATTGGTTAAGCGGATAACACAAAAATAATGACTATGATTGTGGGCTAGGATTCTAACGAAAGATCATATTGGTAGACTATAGTTATCGTAAAAAGCGACTGTAATTCACAAACGACGCAAACGGAACAGCCTTTGGAATTGTGTATGACAAAAAAGATATATTATCATTGTGAAATTACACTTTTAGCCCTCAAATTAACACCAACATGATAGAAGATAAAAAAAAGACTATTTGTGGAAAGGTACCCATAAAAGAAGGACCACTTAAAAATATTTGATAATAGATGACTAAATAGGGAAACCCCCCTGTTATAAAGGACCAATTATAGAATTTACTCTATATATATATATATATATACATACATAGATATATATATATATATATATATATATATATATATCTGTGTGTGTGTGTGTTCGGCACATGGTATATATAAATATAAATATATATATATATATATATATCTATATATATATATATATATATATATATACATACATACATATATTTCGTATATATATATTAAATAAATAAAGATATTTATTTTGTGATTAATTATTTGATAATTAAAGTTGACAAAATAAATTGGAAACAAAAGTAATGGTAGGGCCGGAAATAAGGAATTAAAGTAGGAATGAGATTTGATTTCTTTCCTAAACTTTAAAAGGTATATTCCAAGCTGGATTGGGAAAAGGATTGTACTCCTTATAAATAGGAGATCATTCCCCTTTGTTGAACCACTTGATTTTCGGCCACCTCAGAAGAAAAGAGTCCAAAATTGTTTTGCTCTTTTAATTCACAACTCCAAATATTTTATATTTTAAGAAAATATCCTTGAGAAAATTACTAACATAATCGTTCTCAAGAACACCCATCAAAGTTCGTGTGTACGCACTAGAGGTCATATACTTTTGTGGCTAGAGCTCTTGGATCAATTTAGTCAGCCACACGCCGTTGCTTGCTCGCCAAGAAAGGTATATCTCTACGTTTGGACATTAAATTTTTATATTACGCTGCCCAATCCAAGCATAGTTCCCAACATAAATATGATTGAGACATAGATTGTGTCCTAACAGATTGGACACAACGACCGGATTCTCGAGGTTCTCTCTCGGGATTTCCGATAGAGCAGGCATAGATGTACATAAATACGACAATGTGGAACCTGGGTCAATCAAAGCAGATATAGATGTATCGATTAAGGTGAACATACCCATAATCACATCTTGGGCAGGCTGCTCGGTGCGTCCATGCATTGCATAAGTACAGGCCGGAGCCTTCCCAGACTTAGCGCTCGGTGCCGGCCTCTTTGGTTGACTCGACGCCGCTACTCACTTCTGCCTCGGAGCGGGCTGGGTGACTAGAGATGAGGTTGCGGGCGCTATCGAGAATGCCTCACCATGGTTCGTCGAGCAGTTCCTATGGAAGTGCGTGGCCTGTCCACACCCAAGGCACAGGCCCTGGGTGAACCAACACTCGCCGGGGTGCCTCCGACCGCAAAGATTGCATATCGGGTTCTAGTATCTACTCTGGCTCTAGCTCTTCGCGCTCTTTTGGGTGGGTGCTGATGACAAGGCAGGTGCTGACTTGCTTTCTTGCTCGTGTGCGAGCTGCTCGGTACGGGGAGAGGCCTCTTGCTGCTCTAGCTAGAACTGGGTGGCAGAGGTGGACGAGGATGCATCGTCTGGGCCTGCTCGTACTCGGCCTTCTTGAGTTGAGCCGCTTGTAGTTCCAATGCCTGCTTGTACAGGTCGTTGATGCCATGCCGAGGTGCAGAGACCGGCCCAGAGGACAGGTCAGGGCGTAATCCCTCCATGAAGCGCTTGCAGTGCTTCTCCATCGTAGGTACCAAATCTTGGCCAAACTCGGCCAGCTCATAAAACTTTTGACGGTACTCCTATAGTGTAAGTTCACCCTCGGTGAACTTCATGAATTCCTCTTGCTTCTCCTCCATGAAATGCTCGGGTACGTACTCCTCACGGAAAAGCTCATCAAATGTTGCCCACGGCACTGGCTCTGGGACGTTCGCTCCCGTGCGTTTCCACCAATCATAGGCGGCATCCTGAAGTAAAGCGGTGGCCAAGTCGCCTTTTTGCTCCATTGGAACCCACAAGGTTCCGAGGGCTTGACTTATGCGCTCGAGCCAGCGCTTAGAAACCATGGGGTCGGCGATCTGGTTGCCACGGAACTCCTCTGCTCCGTTCTTTTTCAGTTTCTCAATGGTGACCACAACCACCAGAGGTGGCGGCGGTGGTGGTACGTACGCCCCCGCCATCTGGAGGAGGTTGAGCATGTTGGATGCCAGCTGCGGCTGCAGAGGAATAGCCTGGGGGACAGCGATTGGGTGCGGAACCTGCAGCTCCGGAACCTCCTGTTGTGGCATGAAGCTTGACGCTTCAGTGTGCATTCTTACGTGCTCCTGTTCTCCCTGGCGACCAGCCTGTCCATGCTCGGGAGCTTGACTCATCTCCTTTCTCGAAGGAGATTTCTTAGTAATAATAACAACTAAAATGATAATGGTTACCTTCCCGGTGGAGATACAAAGCAGGATGCGATAGTGGATCCTGGAGGAAAATGTTTTCAAACTGGGTTTCAAATCATTTTTAGAACCGAACCTGTTTCTGATACCAAAATGTATCGCCCTCCGTCCAACGAACCCGCTTCACCGCGGCCCAACGAGCTAGAGAGGTTCCGTAGACGATTTCTAGGACCATCTACAGAAAAACCCTTGCGTTGCTCTTGTAACTGAAAACTCTTGATACACCTTATTAAATGATGGAGATAAATTACTTTAAAGAAAATGTCACATAACGGAAGTAAATGTAAATAATAAACGTTAAGTCTTAAATAAGAAAGTGCGACAATGGTGGGTTCAAGCCCAAAATGGTTATATTGTTAAATAGATATATAATAAATAGGGTCCACACTGTCGTCGATCTGTTGCCCCGATCTCCGTGTCATCCGGGTCAGGCTCCATGATCATCTTGCCTACCCGCGTATAGCAAAAATAACGCTATACCCTCAGCATGAGTGGTAATCTAACAGTAGAACGCATAGTGCATTCACATTAATATAAACATAATTGTACATTTACTAAAGTACGAGATACCACATACAAGCTTATTCAATAAGAAATTTTAAATAAACAGTGATGCAATGCCAAATAATCTATGATGCATGAGTTAGACTGCGCATGGACCCCCTGCCCTTCGATGATCATCCCCACGTGGTAGATGAGCCGAGGAATGCCTTAGTCTTCCTGAAGGAGACTAGAAATGTGGGTGGTAGCTGAAAGCCTAGCTACCATGTACGTACACAAGCCCTCCTGATGTAACCTGTAGGATCCCGAAGGCTCCTGGACGGGCGTGCAGAAGAGGTGCACTAGGCCTGACCCCTTTGTTAGTCGTTTTAGACGTTGTGCCCACGCTTTAGAGGGGGGGTGAATAAGGCGTTTGAAAAATTTTCGGAGTTTGATAAAAACGGTGTTGGCAAATGCGGAAGCAATATATAAAACGAAGAAATAAAAGCGTAAATAAAATGCACACCGATTTTATACTGGTTCGGGAACTCCCTACTCCAGTACCTCGAGGCTCCTCCTCAAGGATTTCCGAATCCACTAAGTCCCGGTCTCTTGAACTCCGTCAAAGCACCGCACTAGTTTGGCAAACAACCCTTGCCAATAGGATTAACTCTGAGATTTCACAACGGCTATCTCGAACCGTTTACAATGAAGATTTAACGGCTATCTTCTACCGTTCCCTCAAGGATTTCAAAGGCTATCCTTGACCATTACAATGTGAGAATTTAACGGCTATTTTCGATCGTAACAATGTGTGTTTGAAGAACACAAGAGGATTCTACACAACTGCTACAATATAAAAATGAAGAACAAAACTTAGCATGTGTAGAAGGAAATTATACTCTCTCAAAAATACAATATAAACTTATGAATATGAGATTATATAACTAGAAACACAAGCTCAAAGTATGTGTATAAAATTTAGGAATTTAAGGCTCTTGAAATAGCCAAAATATTGAAAATATTGAATAAAAGAATGAACACACTTAGAATATTAAGGGAGGATGTTTGGAGCTTTGTTCTTAAAAAAATATGAAGGATTAGGCTTGTATTTATAGTGGAAGAGGTTAATTAGCCGTTGGGAGGTGATTAGGGTTGATTTAATTCAAAATCACAAATCAGGAACAGTAACCCAACGGTCACAATAGGCCGATACTGTCCTCACAGTAGCATGGTACTGTGCGTACGGTAGGGGGTACCGTGAGTGGCGGTACCTCGGTACCGTGTAACACAGCAAACCAGTTTGGCTCTGGTGGTACCTGTCCTCTAACGGTACAGGGGTACTATGCCAGCGGTATAGGGTACCGTGTCGACGGTATGGGGTACCGTTTGGGGTACTAAACCACTGTCCTGCGTTTTCCAAAATTCCCTTAATCTTTCGTGTTTGAGTTTAAGACCTTTTAGATATTTGAAAATGTTTATGGGATGGTTTTAAACATATTTTGTGAGTGTTTTTGAGCTTGTGAATATAGGTATATAAAGTCATATCCTTACATTGGTTTCTACCTATATTCTACGCTAGTTTAGTGTTTCGACTTCATTTTTGAATACTGAATCTTAATGGATTCTTGTTTTGCCTGAAACACTTAAACAAATATTTAGCTCTTATATTGTTTGTTAACATCAAAACACGAGGCTTAGCAAATCAAGGCTAACACCCTTGTCGTGGTATCCAATGGTATGCCATGATCCCACGACATTCGTCTACGATATACGTGATGATATGAATGCATGCATTGCTTGGAGATAAAGTTAAGTTCAACGCATACATATATGTTTGATTCCGTATGAGAATGATTTTTTCAACATGATGGCCTTAAGTTCAGAACTGACTGATAATCGATTATCCATTGTTGATAATCGATTATCATGCTGTGCAGCTTCTATTTCCAAGGTTTTGCAGACTGAGAGAGTTGATTGTCACCTAATGACAATTGATTGTCCAGTTGGTTTGTCGTGGAAATCCTAAGTTTAGAGAGGCCCGATAATCGATTATTGCTTCTGTGATAATCAATGATCATGTGAACCAACTCTGACTCAAGAATCCGCAAGGTCTGATAATCGATTATCACATATGTGATAATCGACTGTCACACTTTATTGGATCAACTGAGGAGTCCAGCGTGGCTTGATAGTCGATTATCATGTCTTGTAAATCGATTATCAAGGCACGCTGGTTCCCATTTTGTCTGTTTGATTATCATTAATACGTTGGAAGTTTTTTCAAATGAACGTTTATGTTTTTGTGTTATATAATCTACGAATTTACAGGGTTTCAAACGTTTATATTAACAAGTTCATAATCAAAATGTCTAAATAACGAAAAGCCATGATAATACGGACACACGTAGGTTTAGCCGGGTAATCCTATGATTATAACGATATGATTGAAGTATGAATTCTAAAGTTAGAGGCAACGTACCCACCTCTAAACGCTAGGATTGACGGGAAATAACGGGATGATCGAACGAATGACTAACAAACGGCTTATCGCGCGAACTTCTTTCTCTTCTACCTCCTCGTCTACTCGCCGGAATCCCTTCTTGTCTACTTGCTGCCTTGGCCGAACACACAAAAGGAAAAGGGAAGAGGGAGGGTTGAGTGTTGAGTGCTTGGGGGGGGGGGGGGTTACAAGTGTGGTGGAAATGAAGGGAGAGAGAGAGATTTAAATTGAGGGGAATGAATGGGAGTCTAAAGGAAAATAAATGTGGACTTAATGGAGATTAATGTGTGTGTGTGTGTGTTGTGGGAATTGGAAGGATTAAATGAGGAGTTATCTCCCTAAATTCTATTCTGTTGGGTAAAATCTGACCTGAACGGTATCCGCTTCCCCCCCTCCCCGAACGGGTCCAAATTGAGATCTGTTTACGTTTCTGGAATCAGACAGTCAAGACGAATATTATGACGTGATCAAATAGTTTTTATAAGGAGTTTATTTTTCCAAACCCCGGTCCGAGTTAGTAGTTAATTAATTAAATTTATCAATTTTAATAGACTGGGTCTCAGGGCGTTATAGTGGCATTGTCCTGGGTTTTCCAAAATTCCCTTAATCCTCCGTGTTTGAGTTTAAAACCTTTTGGATGTTTGAAAGTGATTATGAAGTGGTTTTAAACATATTTTGTGAGTGCACTTGAGCTTGTAAATATAGGTCTATAAAATCATATCCTTACATTTGTTTCTATCTTTATTTAATGCTAGTTTAGTGTTTCGACTTCATTCTTGAGAACCAAATCTTAATGGATTCTTGTTGTACTTGAAACACTTAAACAAACGTTTAGCTCTTATATGTTTGTTAACATCAAAACACGAGGCTTAGCAAACCAAGGCTAACAGTTATTGCAAGATTTGAGATAATTCCATGTTGTGGAAGCAATACTTTATCTATTTGATTTTCATGTTGATTTCCAATATGGAGTTCGATTTCAAAACCGATCAGGTTTTTGATCTGAGAAAAATAAATTCAATATAACGATGAGTTCAAATAGTTTTATAAATATTTTTATTTTTTAGGCCACCAAGGCCCACACCGTCAAAATTTGTGTTACTATTACCGATATCGTTAAGATTATTGTCTGAATGGATTGAAGTTCATTGTCAAAGATAAAAGTTTAAAAACAATTACGACCTCATATCAAAGTTTGGGGTAATGGTGTGGTTGTTGCCAACTATACTCCATAGGCAATGTTTAAGCAAAGACGTTTAGCAAGGTAACTCGATGTTTTCCGACCAAACATTGACTAACTAAAATTCCATACAATGTTGGAATCATTAAGGCCTTAGGTTCACATAGTTTTCATTTTCTATCAAGTCAACTCGTAACACAATTCGTATTAACAACAGTCCATGGTTGGTTTGGTATTTAATCATATGGTTATCATATTTTGATAATTCTCTATCGTGGTTTAGGGATGTTCATTCCTACTTATTTACAATTTTTTTAGCTATAAGTGCCCTGCTTGTGAGCATCTTTATGCAGACTTGGTATGACAGTTACTTTGGTTTTGGTTTCTGTTTTCACAGTCAATCCCCTAAATTTTGGTTTCTGATTTGCGGTTGACCGACATATCTTTTAACCGCATTGAAAGTGGTTAAGAATCTCTACCTTATTGTTCTACATCAATAATATGAAAAATTTTACACATATCTACTAGCGTTTTCATCTTCTCATTTTTAATTTCTTGATTTGTTCTTTTATCGTATGTCTTGATTCTATTCGGTCAGTTTAGTCCTTTAATTTTAACTTATAACTTAAAAATCTAAAATTAAAAATTATAATTTTTAATTTGTAAATATTCAATGTAAAAAAAATTTTAATCTTTAATTTTTAGTTTTTTATCTTTTAAATTTAAAATTCATTTTTAATATCATATATTTTTGTGCGACTAAACAACAAAATTAAAATTGAGGATTTTCATTTCGAATTTCATGACCTCAATTTCATGAACTAAATGATGCCTA